TAGCCGAGTTATTGAAGTTTGAAATTACTTCGACAGAAACTGTCGCTCATTTGGGCGCGATTGCCTCCCCACACCCGGCATCGATTTTAAAGACGTTTTCACGTCAAAATTACCGGTATTTCAGCATGCACTGGGAAAAGGAATATGTATCCGGAATACTGCCATAAACAGTGCGATCTCTAGATTACTTCGGCCGGGCACGTTCAGAAAGAATGGTTTTCTGAATATGTTGTGCAAAATACTTGGGTTTATTATTCAAAATAATGACTTGCCCGAATTTTTGATAAACGTAATGTGGGGTTATAGCCGACAACGGGATTCCTGTGGAAAGGTTCCGGTACCAAAACACAGCAGGGAATTTCATGACCAACTACGGATTTGTTAAGAAAGCAGTGTACAATGAAATGGATTTCGATTTTGTTATTCCTTCAGAACAGATACAATGTTCATATACCAATACAAAATACCAACGAGATAAATATCTCATGGAAGTCCACATGTATACAGAGTGGACCTTTCGGTCGGCTTGTGCATTATGACGTCAGTCCACGACAAAGGAGAGAGTATCTGAAACCTCGAAGACACAGATCGCCAGAGGAGATTACTGCAAAACACATTCATTTTATGGTAGTTTCATAATAACAGCTAGTGCTGACTGACCAGTCAAAGTGCGCCCTCTACTTTCATATGAGTGTGTGTCTGTGAGCGTGCGTGCGTGCGTGTAGACTGAATTATAGGTTTTGCTACAATATGACCGCATCTTGCTTTCAGATATTCGACAGGCTTCGTAATGAACATCCAGGATTCGCATCGCAGTTGGTTGCAGTCAGAGGCGACATAACGTTAGAAAACCTCGGCGTGACACCCGAGGATAAATCCCTGATCGAGAAGAATGTTTCGGTGGTATTCCACTGTGCAGCTAATGTGAGGTTTGACCAGAAGCTGAACAATGCTGTCAGATACAACACGTTGGGCACAAAAAGAGTTCTGGAACTCGCGAAGCACATAGACAAGCTGGACGTGAGTATGGGCTTGCAGACATCCACGTAGCCTGTAGGCCTACTTCTAGTTGAATTTGTATTTCATTTACATTTACTGTTGCAGATCAAACATTGCAACCTAAACTTTTCACGAAATATTAATAGGCTACTTCGTAAAGTAAAACTGAAGATGGTTGTCTTCTGGATTGTTGCGCAGTGTAGTCTGGTAGACAATTACAGCGTTTCAGAGGTACTTGCTGTCTCCAACATTAGGGCATCACCCGTTAAATAATATCAACAAGTATTAAGACAAAATATAAATATTTTTTCGAAAACACTGTGCCGTGAAAGCGTATAAGAGGCATGGATATGGCGCTCCACGTATTTCATAACTTGGCAGATTATATGGAGGTTAGAGGTAGTTTTTATCTCCCAGAAAGATATACCGATACCCCAAATACAGGAATCTCTGTGGGCACCACTGGCGGCATGGACATGAAGAAGGTTTTTTGCACTTTATTTAGTCAGGGTATAGGTAGGAGATGGGGTTCCAAGATGTAGGTAATTCGTAATATCACAGTTTCGCTAAATGAACTTATAAGTATTTAGAACTATGAGAAAATTTGTTTCACGATAGACTATTTTATCGGAAGTGTCCGGGATAAGTATTGGATAGAATACTGAGTGTTTCCAACAGATATGCTAGAAAAAAGGAAGTCACTACTAACACACTCACAAGGTATCCAAATATGGTGTCACAAATTTCAAACAGTTTTCTTCCTTGCTTCACTAGACGCCATAAACGTGAGACTGTTTGAAACTTACGTTAAGAAAAATAACATAGGAAGACAGGTCACTGAGCTCAATAATTCTCATTTATATATTTCCCTAGAAGACAGACATCTTCAAACCTTCGAAATTTCGTAGTTTAGCTGCAGGTACTGTTGAATTAGGTGCTACATGTGTGCGTGTCTCACAAACTATGGTCTTTCGGTGTGTCACAAGCTGTTTCTTAACATTTTGTTTCCAGGCATTCGTGCATGTTTCAACCGCCTACTGTCAATGCGATAAACCCGTTCTGGAGGAAATAACGTACCCATCTCAAACCGGTCCCGACAACATTCTTCAGCTGGTAGAGTGGATGGACGACGAAGTACTTGATTTAATCACACCGAAGTGAGTCCAATAACCTGACTGGGTGAGATTTGAGGTTGTCATGGCAATAAATATAAAGACAGCTGTCTTCTGGGTGATTATCACCATAGTTATGGAGGCAAAAAGCTCGTCTGAGATGTGGGTCAGCATGTGGTGTAACACCTCAGAATTCCGCTATCTTAATGATACAGTTTCTACTGCTTGCGCAGCTCGGTGGTCACTTCTGTTGGTTTCGTTCTGCGCACATTTCAGCGGGTATGAATTAGGCCCATGTCATGATATTTCTTGGTTTAACGTGTTTGTTACTGTTGGTCACCTTCATCTTTACTATACTGCTAAAATTAAATTTGTTGGATATTAGGTTCATAAATTTAGTTTACTTTTGTGTGTAGCTAGAAAGAACGATAATCGCAAAACTTGAATCAATTCCATTTTTAATTCCTCTGTTATATTTCGAAAACTCTGATTCGTTTGTCGAAATATACGAGGTGCGATCGGAAAGTTTCCAGTCTGTGTCAATAGAGGGCGAACCGGATGTAGTACGAGCTTCTGCCTTTAGGGGGTGCGGCCTACATTCATAGTGAATCAGTGTGCCAGCCGGCATCAACGAATTAGCATTTGTTTCTTAGTTACGGGCGTTTTGGTAGTGCATTACACCGACCCTCCTGCGATTTCGGAATGGCGTGTGCATCAAATTTTGCCAAAGACTCGCCAAAACGGCTACGGAAACCTATGAAATGCTAAAGCAAGCATTTGGGGAGTCCGCAATGGGAGACGATAGAAGAGATTCAGGCAGAATCGCAGATGGTGCTTGACAGACTGACAAAGAAAGATTTCCAGGGATGCTTCCAGGCTTGGCAGCGGCGCTGGGATCGTTGTGTTCACTCCCAGGGAAACTACTTCGAGGGTGATGGATGAATTTAATACCTGAGATAAGTGTACGGGTTTTTATAGGCGTAGTCTTGAAACTTTCCGATCGCACCTCGTATTGACGAATGTAAGCATCTTGTTCTCTAAAATTTCTTTGTATCTCTGGCACAAGGTTTAAAAGATAAGTTAGACGTAAAAACGTTTAGACTAATAGACTGCGGCGAATGTTACAAATTCAACTCTGCAAGTCAAGCAGGTACAGGGAACTAATTCCATGGAAAAGAGCCCTTATTACGAAGCTAATACTCGTTTAGCTAGTCAAGAAATTCCCAGCAAAGTACTGAACATGTGGGAAAGTATATAAAGTAAACTTTATCATGTGTCCTTCACCTTTCGGGGTTTAGAAATTGTTTGTACAAATTTGCTGTTGAGAAATACTATGCCTAATGCTAAGTGTCCCTCCTCCTTCCTCAGTACATACAAGGCCTGGGTCTCCAGGATCCGTTCTAAGACTCAAAGCTTGTCTGACCATCTCCCATCTAGTCTAGTGATATCTCTTCCCCCTTTATATCTATTATGAAGTCTTGTGTCATATCTTTAAATATCTTCCACGATGCTGGTTTCCTCAAGTTTTCATAATTTCCAATGACCGTTTCTTTAAAATGTATTCATCGCCCTGATTATGGCGGCAGCAAGTACCTTTAAAACGTCGGTGAACATCTGCCAGACTACACAGCGTCACAACCCAGAAACCAGTGAACTTCATACTTGTAGCATCTCAGACTTTGTATATTGTTGCCATCTGTTGGTGAAAGTACTAACTCTGTTGCACATACTGTCCCAGTCACTTTTGAACACACTGCATATGTGATTCAATAACATCCAGTTGAAAGGTATTCATTTGCCACGATTTATTTTAGGAAATATTTTATCGCAAAATTAATAAAAAAATTCTCGAAATGGCATCTCACACGGGACAAACAGTAACTGTAAAAGTTTCACGAAGTTTCTTAAGTCGGAAGACTTCCAAATTCGTAAATTGCGTGTGACACATTCAACTTTAAAGCAGAAAAGTCAATACGGGTAACACGTGATGCTGTGGCTGTATTTTCAACGACTGCGTCGAATATTCAGATGTGCCCTGCCACTTATCGTTGCACCAACGTTACTTATGCATCTTTCGCTGCCCCTGACGTATTAGTCCGCATATTATCGCAACCTCGCCCCTGAGCCTTCCTTACAAATCCTTATGAGCATCTCCAAATTTCACTCGAAAACTATAACGTACTAGTGTGCTATTAAAACAGAGTCATTAAAAATTAAGAATCAATCTTACCGTCTCATTATGTGCTATATAAAAACTTTCAGTTGAAATAACATCACTGAATAATCTTAGAATCGATCAACCAACCAACGTCTTGGCTCTGAAGCTGTCTCGTCCATTCAAGTTCATCAACCAAAATGCTGTATACATTTCTTGTTTCCTCCATAAGTGCATAATTAACGATGAAGGGTAAAAACTGTGAAGCTCTGTCCAGTTTCGAGTTACTTTAGCTCTCTCAGTTGTAGACATTCTCTTGAGCACATTCAAACCCGCTTTAACTCTGAATTTCGTGCTGTTTTTCAGACTTCTGGGCAATCTTCCCAACACATACGCTTATTCCAAGAACCTGACTGAGCAACTCGTCACCAACTACGGCTCCAAGTTCCCTACAGCCATCGCCAGGCCGTCAATAGGTAACAGCAATTTCTTATTATGGGCTGCGTTAAACTGCAATGGAGATATATAGGCCAATAACCATTAAAAGAAGGGCACACATGTTCCGAGCAAATTGTTTATAAGTCTACATGCCTAATTACTTAAAGGGGTTACGTCCGCTTCCTTTCAGATCCTTCCCAGTTCATAGTTTAGTAATCATATTATCGTTCCACGCAACGTAGTCTGAGGAACTACAGAGAACGTCGTTAAATAAACCATAATAAAATTAGGTAACAACGTAAAACCGCTGTTGTTTCTTTTTCCTGTGTTTCTGCACAAATGATGGAAAGGCACAGAGGCCAGTTATAGCCTCTTTGTCTTCAACTTTTCTGCACAAATGATGGAAAGACACAGCGGCCAGTTATAGCCTCTTTGTCTTCAACTAGATGTGAGGGCTATTGAAAACTGGATATTTGTTTCTGCCAGTGACGGGGACCTGGAAGGACCCAATTCCAGGATGGGTGGAAAACCTGAACGGACCGACGGGACTCCTCGTGGGGGCCGGCAAGGGGGTAATACGCTCCATGCACTGCCGCGCCGAGTACGACGCTGACATACTGCCGTGCGACATGGCTATCAACGCCCTCATCATCCTCGCCTGGAAGGTGGCAAGCCTTAGGTTTGTAGCCGCTTGTAGGGCGCATCAATTGTTTCAGGTTTACGAATTATTTTATCATCAATTGATGCATGCAGTTTATTTATAGATGCGTTTGCCCGGGATCTTCACATAACAGCAATTCTGCAACGGGTATTCACCGAAGCATTTCGTTTCCGTCAGCGGCTCTAGTCGAATGAGAAGGGACAGACCACGACTACTTCCTTCCAACATTTTTACTTATCAGTCATAACCACATTACCATTTCAATCCACATTTTAAAACCTCTTCAGTCGAAACAGCTTCGCTAAATTGAGAAATGCTACGTATGTCAGCACTAAATCAATTCAGTTACTGTCACGTAATAGAATAAATGGAATTTCAACACAATTGATCATAATCTTTCTATAAATTGTTTAATATTTTAAATATTTTAAATGTTAATTAATGTAATATTTTAATATTTAATAAGAATTTATTGTGATTAGACGGACAAGATTTAAACAATATATATTTATTATATCACAATATGACTCAACTTTACCATCTCATAATCTTTTCTACTATAAAAATTTGTGATTAGTCGTTGTCGTCAAAAAATGACGTCATCAACAATGTCAACAGATATTTGTTTACTCG